GCATGGCATTTAGTTCATTTAGGATCTGTTAACTCTAATTCATGGTAGTGTTTAAGTCCTTAAACCTGTCAAAGGCAGATTTAGCAGCTCATTTTGTAAGATGGCATCCTTCCCTTTTACAAAGCATCTTAAGGTACATATTTTGATTTTAAACCAATGTTCTTCCAGCCATCCATAAGGAGGTCAGCCATGAGGAAGAAGAGGATAGTTGGGAAAATCCTCCTTTTTTGCTTTATAGTAAAGCAAGTGCTACACTCGCATCTAGATTTTGCTTGTGCAAAGCTACTTAAGGACTTTTTGAGGAAATAAACACAAAAATAATTTTTTTTATTGTTTCTATTGTATATGTTATTTGTGTCTCCATTAGTGTATCTCCCCACCTAGTTCAATGTTTAAACTAGGGGACATTTCCCTTTGATGGATCGATATCAACCCGCCTTAAAGGCACATACACAAGTGATTTCAAGATTTGTGTGCCCTACGAGTTTTAGGGCTATTTAGTGTAGTAGTTTGGGTAGTGTTTAGCATTGCTCAAATAAACCATTAAAGGATATTTGTTTATTTCAAAAGCACTATAAATTAGGTGTTTGATAAAATTTGTAATTTGGTAATTTAAGAATAATGAATAGTAATTAGGTTTAAACCACTAATGAATTGAAAAAACTATCTTAAATAGTTTTTTGTGTCAAATATGTAGTGTATTGAAATTTTTATTTTTATGTAAAAAGTTAACCATTTAATTTATCAATTTTTTGCCACAATTTTTAATTATTACTTAGTTTCAACATCATATTTTCACCTTTTTAATATTAAGTGATCATTATATTTTTAGATTTTACATTAACTTATCATAAAAAAAATTTATATGAAGTTAATGAACAAAATTTGTTAATTATATGAAATAATTAAAATTTTATTTTTTTATTTATAAATAATATAATTTTTTTCTTTGTTAAAAATCAAAATAAGTATATGATTCACACTTTATATTTCATTTCATTTATTTATTTTCTTTTTTATATAAAATTAATAATTTTAATAAAAAAAATAATAAACTTAATTACTTTTAGGCACACCTTCATTTGTCATTTTACATCAAATAACAACAGCTACATGTTACATAACCAAACGGTTACATCAACCAAAATCCACCATCTTTTATCTGCAACTTATTTTTCATTATCAACTATTTATTGTCCGTTATCTATTAATTACTAACTGCTAATCCATTTGATTTTAACCCATATACCAAACATGCCATAAGTAGGAGAAAGTGTCACTTTCATATACTTTAGTTGTTGAGCTTATTGGGTTTTTTTTTTTTTCTTAAATTATCACTAATTGCTAATTCATTGGATTTTAACCTCTATACCAAACATGTCATAAATAGGAGAAAGCGTAATTTTCATATGCTTTAGTTGTTGAGCTTATTGGGTTTTTTCCTTAATTTTTTTTCTCCTTTTTACACTTGTAATAGATTATATATATAAGAGGATATAATCTTATTCTTTTATAAAATCGATCCCCACTCTATTCAAGATTCAAATTTGAGACCTTTAAACTAGGATATTAAACTTTGGTCAGTTGAACAATCCCTTGAAGCTATGGAGCCCATTTTATAATATTCATAGTTGGTTTATACAAATAATGGAGTTATCTTTAGTAGGAATGGTAGGAAGGAATGAACGGTAGAAAGATTTTATTTTATTTTTCTTAGGATAAAAATTTGAGGTAGAAAGATTATTGAATCATTTTTTTTTATAATGTTTACAATTAAGAACTTCATTAATAAGTTTTTATACATTTTGAGACTAATTTTTTTCTAGATAATTACGTACCTAATGATTAGTTTTATAGATTGTAAAATAATAAATAGATAAATTACAGAAGATTTAAAGAATGGACAAGGAAAAGGAGACAAGCAATGGATCATATGGGAGTAAAAGGATAATTGTTTTGAAACTTGAATTCAAATTTTGAATACAAGTTAGCAGTTAATAAATTGCTTGGCCAAAGGATAAGTCTATTGGTTTATAGACGTGTTCGAAATCAAAAGTATGTTTTTTTGCTATTTAAACACATCTCATTGTTTGTAAATAAATAACTTGACTTCTTGCTTTCATACATCTTGTCTTTCTCAAATTTAGATTCAAACTTTTACAGAAAAGTTCAGAAGAGAAGTCTTAAAAATTCGCTAGCTAAGATTTTTGGTGCCTTTGTTGGATCCTAGAGGTGTTTTTGCCGTCAACCCTACAATAAACTCTAGTTAAGTGAGAGCAAAATTCACCTTAAAGACAATGTATTCAACATGCACATATTTTAGTTCTTCAATCCACTATTGTTATCCATTTTAAGGTGAATTTGTCTCACCGGAATCCAACACTTAAACTACTTACAAAATGATGAATCAAGATTTTGTCAGATTAAATTGTTTTGATTGTTCAAATTATAATCGTTGGAAGGACAAAATGATATTTTTGCTCACTGTTTTGAAAGTTGCTTATATCCTTGATCTAAGTCTACTAGATGTTTCTAAACCAACTACTGAAGATGATGATCAAGTGAAAGCAGAACATAAGAAGCAAGAAGAAGATGAATTATTGTGTAGTGGCCATATCATGAACACTTTATCATCTCAACTTTGTGATCTTTATACTTCAGTTACATCTCTAAGGGAAATTTGGAAGGCTTTGGAAAGCAAATATAACAAAGAGAAACAATGTGTGGATAAATTTCTTATTATGAAATATTTTGAATTTTCTATGATAGATGATATGTTTGTTATAAATCAAGTTCATGAATTGCAAATATTAGTATCAAAATTAAAAGACTTGAAAGTGGAGGTTCAGAATGATTACAAGTAAGGGCTATAATTCCAAAACTTCCTCCTAGTTTGAATAATTACAAGCAGAGGTTGTTACATACCATAGAGAACTTCACTTTGGAACAAATCCAAACACACTTGAGAGTTAAAGAAGAAAGTTGTAACCAAGACAAAAGAAGTGCTACACATATTGGATCAAGTTCTAAGGTAATTTTAATAGAACTAGGAAGGCAACTAAAAGAAAGTATGGTGGAAACAAGAGGACATTCTTTAAAGAGGATAGCACCAATAACAATGATAAATTTCTACCAATCTAAAATTGTTGTCATTGTGGAAAGAAAGGTCATCTTAAGCATGACTGCAAGTTTTTTAAGAGGCAAAAGAAAGAAGACTCCAACAAGGCAAGTGTGGTAGATGTTGAAGACTTGGATTTGGTTGCCATGGTCACTAACATGCATATAAGCATGGTTACTGAACTTAATATGGAAACTACAACCAAGTCACTTGACTAGTGGTATAATTCTAGTGCTAAAGTACATGTTTACAACTATAAGTCACAACTTAAAGACAATTCAAATGCTGTTAAAAGACAAGTCTTGATGGGAAACCACAATAAAGCAAGTCTTTAAGAAAGGAAGCATGGAACTTTAGTTTACTTTTGGAAGGAAGCTTGTACTTGTGCATGTTTTCCATGTTCTTTACATTAGAAAAAATCTTGATTTTGCTAATCTCTTGAGTAAGAATGGGATTGAGACTGTGCTAGAGTTTGATAATGTAATTCTATCAAAAAATGGGGTGTTTGTTGGAAAAGGACTTTCTTGTAATAATATGTTTAAGTTGAGTGTTAATGATAAGTCACTTGTTTTTGCTTATACTATTGATTCTTCTTTATGTTTGTGGCATGATAGATTAACACACTTGAATTTTGGATCTTTAAAGCTAATGTCTAAGCAAGGATTGATTACATATAATCATGAGAATAAAGGAAAACGTGAGATTTGTATTCAAGCCAAAATAATGAAGAAGCCTTTTCCCAAGGCTACAAGAAATTCCAAGTTGTCAGATACATTTTGACTTATGTGAGTTATATGGTGTTCTAACAAGAGGCAGGTATGTTGGCCCAGATGATGGCAACCTAAGAGGGAGGTGAATTGAATTTTCAAAAACTTTATGCAACTTTGAAAAACAAAACAATGAACAAGCATAAGCAATTGCAAACTACTAATTTAAAGTACAGAAATTAAAAGTTAAGGGAAGAGAAAGCTTAAACACAAAGATTTATAATGGTTTGGTCATAATTTGTGTCTAGTCCACTCATCAAGTTGCTTTCTTGAGAGCTAGTTTTAGATTCAGAATCTCTCCTCCAACTTTCAAGTGTAGAGACAACCATTTGCAATAGTTTTGTCAATGATATCCACCTTCAACAATTCAACCCCTTGTTACAATCTCTCACAAACCCAATCCTATACCACAAGAATGGTTTTTTCTAGCTTTAACAAGGTTACCTAATTACTTTCTCAATAATTTATAGGTGCTATTGAACCATTCAATTCCATTGTCACAAATCTCTCAATCCTTCTTATACCTCAAGGATAGATTACTAAATCTAATAAGGTTTCCTCAATCCCTCTCTCACTTGTTACAATTAGAGAGAATAAGAAGATACTAGATTTCTCAAGGCATAGGATAGAAGCTCAATGACTCTTGGTTTCTCAACTTGAAAGCTCTGTTTTTCTATGCTTGTCCATTCTTCTAGATCTGGTTTTATAGCTTAAGAATGCTCAATCAATGTATTTCACCGTCTGAACTCCTTTTTGGAATGAATATATTCCAAATATAATAGATAAATCAATGTCCTAGCACACAAGGGGTTAGAACCAGTGTTTTCAGAATCGAACCGGATCGATCGATTCAATCGGTTCGATCGGTGCCCAGTAGGTAAAACGGGTCGGTTGAAACCTCTAACCCGTTTGGGCGGTTGGATCACCCAAACCTGGTGGAACTGGCAAAACTATTCCACCCGAAAGACCGGACAAACCCGCCAGCTCATTTACACCATTCTTTCCTCTCTCTTTTTTTTTTCATATTTTTTAGTGATTAGTTCGTTTTGTCCCCTTTTTTTTTTTCAATGTTACCTTTTTTACCCTTCAACCCATTACAATTTTAGATAAAAATACAGAAAATCTGAACTTAATTACTTAAATTCCTAAAATTAGAAATCCTAAGCCTCATTCATCCTAATCAACTCTTTCTTCAAGTTCCACTTCTCCCTCCGGCCTCCATATCTCCGGCTCCAAATCTCCACTACGCTTGCTCTCTGATCAACTTGTTTCCTCCAGTCTCCATCACCTCCAACACCACCAGCATCAGTTCTTACCCCTTTCCAATTGTGCTCTCCGATCAGCTCTGTAGTCGGAAGAACAGTCAGTCAAGGAGCGAAGGCATGGGGAGGAAGCTCGATGCTTTACTCGAAAGGAATTTAAAGACAACCAAGTTTAAGCCGTTCGTCACCCTCGCTCTCTCTCGTCTCGTCGTTCTCAAGAGCCAACGACAGATTCGCTGCTCCCAGGCTCGCTTTGATGTGGTTTAGCTCCTCGAACTTGGCCAACACGATCGCGTTCTCCTTTGTGTGAGATTTTGATTCTTTTGAAGTCCTGCCTCGAATCGTGGATTATATATGTAGATTCTGGAAATGCCTAAAGCTTAAAATTGCATTTTTATGACTGTGTGCATTTGACACAGTCGGTTGATTGGTTTGATCGGTTCAACCCGTCAAATCGATAACCAATGAGCAAACCGATTCTCTTGCCGATTTGGGTTTCAAAACATTGGTTAGAACTTGCCTTCAGGGGTTGGAACCTAAAGAATTTTCTGCATTAACACTTCAAAAAACAAAATTATCAAGGGTTTCAAACCCTAGCCTAGGTGTTGGAACCTCAACTATAGAATGCACTTTTTGTTTTTGGCTCCCCATAACAAGCAAATATAATCATGCAATTAAATGGACTTTTACCAAAAAGGAAACACATTCAAAACTTAATATTTGAAAATTAATTCAATATTACTAGGAATAAATCATATATTCACAAGTAAATCAATTTCCAATCAATTCAATAAATAATATTATTGAATGCCAAATTGCCATTAAATTTTTGGGGAAACATTGCTTACAATTTGCCAAACACACAATAGAATTCCTTCAAGAAAGACAAATATTTTTCCATATGAGAAATGCAAAGGAAGAAAACACAATTTAAATTATCTAAAAGTTTGGGGTTGTATAGCATTCTATAAGGTGTTAGATTCTAAAAGAGTCAAATTGGGACCAAGAACTATTAAAAGTATTTTTGTAGGATACCATGACAATTTCGAAACATATAGATTGCTTGAATTTGATTCTAAACTAATAGTTGATTCAAAGGATGTGGAATTTATTGAAAATAAATTCATTGATGATTCCAACCATGTTTCAAAACCTACATAAACACAAAATGACACTAATACTGGTTAACCTTTTAGTAGTAAAAGGAATGGTTTGGAACTTTCTATTGAACCTAGGAGAAGTCAAAGAACTAGAAAAGAGAAAAGTTTAGGTCCAAATTTTATATCTCCACAAGCTATTATTTTCCTTATTGAAGGCGACAAGACTACTTTATTGAATAAAATATCAATTCTACTTAATGTTGAAAATGATCCAAAGACCTTTAATGAAGCAATGGCATCTAGAGATGTTGCTTTTTGGAAGAAGGCAAATAATGATGAAATGGATACGATATTATCAAATAATACTTGGATCTTAGTAAATTTGCCTCCGAGTTCAAAGCCTATTGGATGTAAATGGGTATTTAGGAATAACTTCAATCTTGATGGATCCATTCAAACTTTTAAGGCCAAATTAGTAATGAAAGGATTTAAGCAAAAGGAGGGATTAGATTATTTTTTGATACATATGTACCAATGGCAAGAATTAGCTCCATTAGATTACTCTTTGCTTTAGCATCAATATACAATTTGATAATACATAAAATGGATGTCAAAACAACATTCTTTAATGGAGAATTAGATGAAGAGGTGTATATGGAACAACCTGAAGGGTTTGTACTCCTTGGAAATGAAAATAAGGTGTGCAAGTTGGTTAAATCCTTGTATGAATTGAAACAACTTTCAACATAATGGCATGAAAATTTTGATTTAGTAATTCTACAAGATGGATTTCAACATAACAATGTTGAAAAATGCATATATTTTAGGTTTAATGATGAGTAAGGTGTGATCATTTGTCTTTACATAGATGATATGCTTATCATTACAACTAATATGCATGGACTAGATGAAACCAAGAAGTACTTGTCTTCGTATCAAAATGAAAGACCTTAAAGTAGACACCATATTGGCTATTAAATTTAAAAACATAGTAGGGCTTATGCTTTGTGCCAATCTCACTATATTGAGACGTTGCTAAATAAATTTAATCAGTTAAAGATTAACAAAGCAAGTACCCTATATGATGTCTCTTTCAAACTAATTGAAAATCTTGGCAGATTAGTTACACAAATTGAATATGCTAGTGTTATCATTAGCTTTTTGTATGCTATGCATTGTACAAGACTAGATATTGTGTTTTTAGTTTGTAAACTCTCATGGTTCACAAGCAATCCTAGTACTAATCATTGGAAAGGTATTACAAAACTTCTTGGTTATCTCAAGAGAATAGAAGATCTTGGATTAATTTATAATGAATTTCCTACAGTATTAGAACGACATTTGGATGCTAGTTGGATAACTAGTAAGAGTGACAATATATCAATGTCTGGATGGATTTTTACTTTAGGAGGTGGAGCCATTGCTTAGACTTCCAAGAAATAGACATGTATAACTCATTCCACCATGGACGCTGCGTTTGTTGCTTTAGCAGCAACATGTAAGGAAATAAAATGGATGAGAAACTTCCTATCAAATATCAAATTGTGGCCATCACTTATGACATCTACCTCTATATATTGTGATAGTGAAGTAACTATGTCTAGAGCATACAATAAAATTTATAGTTGAAAATCTACACATGTAAGCTTGTGGCATGAATATCCTAGACAATTGATATTTGAAGGTATAGTCACTATAGTATATGTTAAGTCAAGCAATAACTTGGTCGATCCTTTCACTAAAACGCTCTTGAGAGATATTGTTAAAAAGATGTCTAGTGTAATCGCTTTAAAACCCTTTTATTAAAGTCGCCAATAGGGGAAATCCTACCATTCCTAGTTTTATGCTACTTTAAAAGTTTAATGGGTAATATCAATGTATTGACTAGTGATTCAAAGTACATATTTGGAATTGTGCTTATTGTTATGTTTGGAGAATGAGTATTTTACTCTTAATGAAGTTCAAATTATAAATGATGCCTATAATAACAAGGGTTGTACAAGGAACTTCACCTATATGAACATAAGAAGTGGTGCCGCTTCTAACAAAACTTTGGGCTAACCTTTGTAAATTTTCATGAAACCAAGTGGTAGCACAAGGCCATAATAGTGCTTAAATATTAGTGAACTTTTCTGTGAAATTAGATAGTTTCATGGGTGTGATATTTCTAGTTCCAACATTATGAATCAAGGTTTAAGCGTGAAGGCACCTTTGATATTGTTAGAATCTTGAAATGTTTTACAATAAGTGAAAGTTTGTATCAAATAGATACCTTTGCTTATGCATGAATACTATTAGAATTTGATTTGCTTATACTTGTTATTCTTACAATCTAAGAGGGGGATTGATGATCAGTTTTATAAATTGTAAAATAACAAATATATATACCATAGAAGGATTAAAGAATGGACGAGGAAAAGGAGTAAAGGAATGGATCAGACGGGAGTAAAAGGATAATTGTTTGAAACTTGAATTCAAGTTTTGAATACAAGCTAGTAGTTAACAAATTGCTTGGCCAAAGGATAAGTCTGTTGGTTTACAGATGTGTCCAAAATCAAAAGTCTGTTCCTTTTGCTATATAACCACATCTCATTAGTTGTAAATAAATAAGTTGACTTCTTACTCTCCTGCATCTCATCCTTCTCAAATTTAGATTAAGACTTTTACAAAGAAGTTCAAAAGAGAAGTCTTTAAGAATTTGCTAGCTAAGATTTCAAGTGGCTTTGTCGAATCTTGGAGGTGTTTTTGTTGTTAACCCTACAACAAACTCTAATTGAGTGGGGGCAAAATTCACCTTAAGGATAGTGTATTCAATACACTTCAAAGCCACATATTTTAGTTTTCCAATCTAGTATTGTTATCAGTTACCTCTCTATTGATTTAGTGCATTTAAAAAAATTAATTTTCTTGAGTATTGGCCCAAGACTTAAAACTCTAAATCTATCATATAAGCCAACATTTACTTATCAATGATCCAAGTTTTGGAGTTGATTGTCATAGTTGACTCTCCGATTTCAATCAATCTCTATGCAAACCTAACTGACCACGTAGAACTAGGTGACCTATCTCACCTCATTTGGATAGAGGATGACTCCATCTATTTTGACACATCAACATTGATGATTGAATCTGTTTAATAATTGAATAGAATGGAATGTTCTATTTCAATTATAATTTTTGATATTATTGATATATATATATATATAATGTTTGATATAGGTAAGGAATGTTCTTTTTATTTTTCTATATTGTAACTTGGAGTAGGCGTGCCAAAATCATTAATTTTGACAGAGAAAAAAAAAACCCCATGCATTGGAACTTTTGAAAATATATGAGAGGTATGATGGTGCTGGCACATTGAAACAAGGGGCAGCCGCCATAGTGAATTTTTACATACAACACAAGGAAGCATCTTCCAGCACTCCATTTGCTCCAAGGAAGCACCATCGTGCTCTCCTTCTTAACCTTTTGTCTAGTGTTGCAAAAAGTACCATGCAGTGCTCCACCGCTTACCCTACACCCTAGACGGTAAAACTAGGCAATTCTTTAATTAATTTTGACATTTTTTGCGAGAAGGGAGAAACGCTTACGGCGCTTAAGTGGTACATATGCACTAGACAACTGCCAAACGCCGACCATCATCTAGTGCTTTTTGCAACATTGCTTTGTCAATTGGTTTGATCCAACATGATATTGTGAAAAATACCGTAGAGAAAAATGTTACAGTTTTCAGTCTTTTAGAGCCATCCAAGAACAGATGGGAGTTGAACTTGCTCACTCTTGTTGCACCCAATCCATTTTTTTCACTCCTACATGATATATGGTTCAGGCTAGGAGTCCATTGGAAAGAATCTATTCACTCCAAGGGTAGCTTATAAAAGGCAAGTCTATCATCTATGCTATATGTCAACTGTGTCGTGATAAGAGCAAGAAAACTTGGCACAAGTTTCTACACGAATCCAATCTGAGAAACAAAACCATAGAAAAGAAGACTGCAGTATGCCATCATAGAAACATATGTAACCCCAAATCCAGGTTATCAGCTCCTTCTTTATATAGATAAGAGTGACAGTAAACACGAGTAAATGTAACAGAATTGAAAATACCACAGGCACAATGTTTGTCATAAAAGTAAACCTTTCACGCTGGCACAGCAAAACTATCTTGTTTCCATTGTGGCAAATCTACCACTGCACAAGGATCTGATTTCTCAAAATCAGCAACCTGCATGAGAAACAGTGCATTAACAAACCGATTGGAATAAAGGGCCAAAATGAATGAGTGGGGGAAAATAAAGGACAAACAACGGGAAAAGTTACACTTGCCTTTTGATGGCAGCTTGGGCAGTAGTGATATTTATGCCAAAGGCAGTTCATTGAAGGGCAAAGAAAGCAGATCCCAAGACCTAATGGCATCATGCAAGCAACAACTGCCGCCAGACTAGGTTTCGATCTGAATTGCATGCATAAAAAACACATGATAACAAAAAAAAGGAACACTCTAAAGGTTATTGCATTAAGTAGGATGGCAGGAAGAGGTTCAGGGGTAGTAAAAGCACATAACAATCATCAAATCAAATTCAAAACTATACAAGTTGAAATAAGCATACGCGGATGCTTTCATTTTGTGCACAAGTGACCAGCAGCAAACAACTGACTTATTTACTATCCTTTCCAGAGTGATTCTCCTTTAATGTCAAAAACACAAAACAAGCAAAGGGAACAAAATACAAATTCAAATGTGGTGAATTCCATTTACCATCCAAGACCTATACTGCCTTTTTGAAATTGGGAGACCAATTCTCCACCAATAACTGCATCTAACTAAGGATCAGCGTATTTTAATACAGAAAACCTAAGAATTTTGAAAAGTGGATATGATAATTAAACCCATCCTTTAAGATAACAATTCAATTCAACTTCGAGAGCATCGGCAACAATAATACAGAAGAATAAAAACAGTGGTCCGTAGATGATAGATGAATAGGAGGTTTTCAACTGATACTATTTTAAGTGCAAGTTAATTGATTTCATAGACCCAAGTTACTAGCTACTATTTCTTTTCTTCTCACAATTAATGAATCACATCTGAAAAAGATTCAGACGTCATAGCTGCTTAACTAAAGTTAATAAACAAGAACTTGGTTCAAAAACTTCTCAGATTTCGAAGATAGAAAATGATTGGAATAACAACTACCACTTCAAAAATAAAAAAACTTCAAACAAAGCACCCATAAACATTTTGCATGTTCCTTTCGTCTCAGAAAACCTAACCTATAGCCTGTGTCACCCACAAGCATGTATTTGTCTGTTCCAAAATTCAAAGGCACTAATTAAACCATCAAATCAGAATAACTCATTGTAGTTTAGAATTCTTCAACAAAGACCAAAAATACTACCAAAAAAAACAAACAGATCACAAAAGAAGATTCTCTAAACAATCAAACAAATACAGATCCTAATTTTTTTTTTTTTTTTAATTTAATAAAATGGGTATCTGTCTAAGCAAAAGGTCCCAGAACCAGTAATCGCTGCGGAACCTGCAAACTAATCAGTCCACAGCCAGCGGGTGAAGCTTCACCAGAATCACATTAATTCACAATAACGAATTTTTGTGTAGAAAGGAATCGATGAAATAAACAAGAGCGGCAAAATATGAACGGGGGGAGTAAGATCAATGGCCAATACCTGACATCAGTGAGTCCAGACTCGCCACAGTAAGGGCAATTGAACGGAGCAGGTGTGTCCCGGTACATGGTCTGATGAATCGGAATCTCCTTGGGGTCGCCGTAGACGGCGTTTGGTGGGATCATCCCGGCCTGGTACGGGTTCATTCCGATAAAGTATGGAACTCCAACAACAGGCTGGTCGGCTTTCGACATCTTCAGACGAACTCCGATCGAGATTTCGAGATCACAACTGGCTGATCGGAGAATGAGGTTGAATTGTTAATTTGCTTGAGTTGAGTCGTCTTTGTACGAAAACGGAAAATGCAAGGAAGCAGTCAAGCAGAAGAAATTTCTGTTGGAGCATAAATGGGCTTCAGGGCCCATAATTACTGGTTGTAAGTCTGAAGCTACAAGAATCTGGACCTGACCTAGGACTGGATGACCCAATAAGCAGGTCTAGATTTCAGAAGTCTCGTGAAAAAGGGTTTTAGTTAGGCTCAACCAGCCTAGTATAATATTGACCTTCACTTTAATTTTTTCATATATTATCTTTTAATTTATTTTATTCATAAATAGTTTAATTTAAATTTAAAATTTTTTATTTTTATTAAAAAATTATTATTAAATTATTTAATTTGTTAACTAATTTAAAATAATTAATATCTATGTATTAAGGTAAATCATATCTATATATTATTAAATTTATTATTTATTATTTATTATCCGTAAAAAATCAGATTTGTATTAACATAAAGGGTTCATGAAAAAATCAAAGTGAAACACAAGAAAGCCATTTTATTATCTCTTATGTTTTATAATCTAACTTCCTTTAGATTGCCCTAAGTTATTATAATGTACAGTAATTACATAGAAATCTATAAAAGAACATTAATTTTGATTTCAGGATATTTCCTTGTGTTTAGGTTGAGTGGGTTTGAGGGATTTG